ACTTTTACTTTTACTGGAGTAATATTTTATTATACGTATCTGTACTTTTACTCAAGTACTTGATTTGTGTACTTCGTCCACCACTGGCGTTTTATGCCTTTATTTGGACAGGACAGTATAGGTCGACAGGAAGCGAAGTGGGTGAGAGAGAGGGGGATGGGATCGGGAAAGGTCCGCGATTATATGACTCAATTCATATGAAGTACGTATGTGTTAACCTGTGATGTGTGTGTGTGTGTGTGTGTGTGTGTGCTGGGACAGGTGTCTGGTCTGGCTCTCAACTCTAATGGTGACCTGATCATCTTCCACAGAGGAGATCACATATGGGGAATTAAGTACGTTACGGAATATAAACCCACTGCAAACATTTAAGATTTCTCAACTAGAAGCTCAGAGGAAAAAAAAAAGAATTTGTGTGAGTGATAAAGTGTGAAGTGATGAACTGATGTAGAATTGAACTTTTATCTAGACATCGAACACTGACTTTTTGCTCATGAAGTTGTCATTGTCTGACTCTTAACAATGTTAGTGTGTGATGAAAGGTAATTTAAAGACAGTGGCACCACTGCATTGTGTTCTGTAGCTTAAAAGAATAGTTCACCCAAAAATGAAAATTGTCGTCATTTGCCTGTCATTCAAACCCATGAGAATTTTGCTCATCTTTGGAGCACTATTAAAGATATTTTTAATGTTCTCATAATATTCTCATTCATTTTTGTCAGTCCATTGAAAGTCCATGCAAGCAAACATTTTGAAGCTTTAAAAAGACATTGTAAATATAATCAAGCAGTTTAATCCAAATTTTCTGATGAGATTGTTTTATATGTTGAACAGATTTCAGTTATGCCTTTTTTCACATATAAACACTGATCAATTATTTTTATGTTTGGGTTAACTATTCTTCTAAAGGGGTGAATTCTGCTTATGTAGAATATGTTGTGATGATATAATCAAGTTGTTTTCCCTTCCAGCTCCTTTAATTTCAATGGCATCTACCAGCAGAAGGATCTGGGTCCAATCCAGCAGTCCACAATCATGGTAGTGGATCCAGTCAAAGGAAAAGTGCTCAAAGCCTCAGGAAGAAATATGTAAGTCTATGAGATTCTGTTATTGCACCATGTCTACAATTCGTGTTAGTTGCACAATGCAATTTACAGAGTGGAATTCTGCCATTTCTAATCAGTGAAGCTGCATTTGCACTGTAGACAGATCGTTTATAATGAGAACATGCAGTGTAGACACTGTACTGCTGTTTGCTGTATTTCCTATCTTTGATGCATCAATGAAATGTTTATTTGAACAGGTTCTATATGCCGCATGGAATAACTACCGACAAGGACGATAATTACTGGGTGACCGATGTGGCACTTCATCAGGTAACGATGCTCAGATGAACTCAAGAAACAAGAAACTTAATGTAAAAGTGAAAAAGAAAAAAAACCTTTGGAGAAACCAGGTTCATCCGGGAGGGTTAAATTGGCTAAGTTCAGGACAGTCCTGGATGGGTGGCAGAAAATGCATGTATGAATATCTATAACTTTTAATATCTATCAAATCCCAATATAATCATGATTTTTTTTATTAGAGGTCCAGATAAAATAAGAATTATCACCTGAAAAGGTTCATTTGAAAAGCATTTGTGGTAAACGATACAACTGAAATGAACACTTCATAATGGTCAAGCCAAAATATGACCCTGGAGCACAAAAGCAGTCTTAAGTCGCTGGGGTATATTTGTAGCAATAGCCAACAATACATTATATGGGTCAAAATTATTGATTTTTCTTTTATGCCAAAAATCATTAGGATATTAAGTAAAGATCATGTTCCATGAAGATATTTAATAAATTTCCTACCGTAAATATATCAAAACTTAATTTTTGATTAGTAATATGCATTGCTAAGAACTTCATTTGAACAACTTTAAAGGTGATTTTCTCAATATTTAGATTTTTTTGCACCCTCAGATTCCAGATTTTCAAATAGTTGTATCTCGGCCAAATATTGTCCTATCCTAACAAACCATACATCAATGGAAAGATTATTTATTGAGCTTTCAGATGATGTATAAATCTCAATTTCGAAAAATGTACCCTTATGACTGGTTTTGTGGTCACAAATAATGTATCTGTATAAAAACACTGTATAATGTAAATGGCATAACTATGTAACTCAAGCACCTGTTTTCTCTACATGTAGGTATTCAAACTGAGCAGCGACGGTAAAGATCGGCAGCTTCTGGTTTTGGGAGAAGCCTTTGAACCAGGAAGTGACAAGAAACACTTCTGCCAGCCTACAGATGTGGCTGTGGACCCTGTTACTGGAAACGTCTATGTCTCAGATGGCTACTGCAACTCCAGGATCCTCAAATTCTCACCAGAGGGCAAATATATCTCGCACTGGGGAGCAGGTACACTTATAAGCTCCTAATAGTTTCATGTTCAAAAGAATGTGTTGACATTGATGCAACGAGACAATACTTTTACAATGAGAAATACTTTGATATTGCTGCTAGGGATGATGAATTGAATCAGTAAGGCAGAACTATTTTGTTTCTCATCTGTTCTTGAATCTCTTTAGATCACGGCATGATGTGTTGCTCTTTAAGTATGCTTCACTTTGTCAGACAGGTTCTATTTAAGTGATTTCTTGATTCAACATGTCTAGCAGTAATCAGGCCTGGGTGTGGCTAGTGAAATTTAACTCCGCTTTCTAAAATAATGTGGTTAATCACAGTTCTTTCATGATTTAACAGGAGGGGGCAATTAATTTTTTTACGTAGTGCCAGGCAGGTTTGGACAGCCTTTTCCCCTAAATCGTCATTTAGAAGAATGAGCTTTATGAGCTTTTAAAAACTGCATTTTGTATTTACTTGCATTATCTTTGTGTAATATTAAAATTTGTTTGATGATCTGAATCTTTTAAGTGTGACAAATATGCAAAAAATTAAGGAAGGGGGGCAAAAAACTTTTCATGGCAGCGTATGTTAATGGTTGTATTTTTTTTAATTTAATCTCAGTATTCCTATCCATAAGGGTTTTGATGCATAATAGTAACCCTGGAATGTGATGAAATATAGCTGGGTTGAGATATATAGCAACTGTTATGACTGCAGAAATATCTTAATTCAGTATATACACATTAACCCACCGGTCACAATTGTGACCAACCATAAAACACACATTTTCACACACTTTTCATAAAATAATCATTACTTCAAAGGGTTACTAATGACACCTCACCTGGATATTTTCATGTCTGAAAAATGTTTTGGATTAAACAGGTTGAGTCTCAGTTAATACTCATTCTCTGCTGATGGCACAGGCTCCTCGGACAGAAAACGGCGAGCTTCATTCTTGATCCCGCACAGTCTGACCTTCCTGCCCGATAAACAGGAGCTGTGTGTGGCTGATCGAGACCATGGACGCATTCAGTGCTTCATGGCAGATACCGGCGAGTTTGTGAAGGAGATCAAAAAAGAGCAGTTTGGAGGAGAAGTGTTCGCCATCGCATACTCGCCTGTCCAAGGTATGCGTGAAGAGAGCAGCATACATCTCTCTCTACAGAGTAGATCAGTGTTGGTTTATTGGATCATCACGTTGTCATATTCATTTGAACAAAATATATAACATTGAACGTGGACGTCATCTCCTGATTTATAATGTGAATACATTACGCTCAAAAACATACTAATGCTTTGTTGTCTGTATGTTGTTAATGTGTGGTTTCAGGTGGTCTCATCTATGCGGTGAATGGAGTGCCTCCAGATGGGCAGGTCGCCCCCCTTCAAGGCTTTGTTATCAGTTATTCAAGCAAGGAGATCCTGGATTCCTTCAGTCCAGACGCACAGGTGCTGGTTACAGCTTTAACTCATATTTACACACTCAAAACACACAAAAGACTCTGTCATTGACCTTACAAAGCACAGTTATTGATCACATGAAAAGCTGCTAGTGTGGATATGAACACATTTACGTAGTAGATGCTTTTAGCCACAACGATTTACCATATTAGCAACATTCTGTATGGTGGCAGCCAGTGTTGGGGGTAACGCATTACAAGTAACGCGAGTTACGTAATCGGATTACTTTTTTTCAAGTAACTAGTAAAGTAATGCATTACTTTTTAATTTACAAGATAATATCGGAGTTAATTTTTTTCCAATTTTTTGATTGACAGCTCTCCTGTCCCCATGTTGAGTCAGAAGATGTTACTGTAGTTCTAAAATAAATATGAATATGCATTAATTCATCTCACTCACAAAAAAAAAAAACAGATTCAGTATTCCTCAAAATGAATAAAAATAATGCAACTCAGAATATGACGCAAACCTGCAATAATTAAATGTTAAACAACACAAATATCCTTTATGTATTTAGTCCCATTCTATTAACCAATGTCTTCAATGATCCAGTTCAACGGCAGCACAAAATATTGTGCCTAAAACAGGACCAAAACACGTCTTGTTATGAGTCAGTTTACCCCGTTCTTCTTGTTCAGATGTTGATCTGATATCTTGTTTCTCCTTCAGGAATTTAAAATGCCACACGACATTGTTGTTACAGCAGACGGGAGCGTCTTTGTTGGAGACGCAGCATCAGATTCTGTAATGAAGTTCGTTCAGTCTGCAAGTAAGTTATGTTAGTATAAATATACCAATATAACATTTCAAATAAAAATATGAGAAATGTGTTGCAGTGCAATCATAATCAGTCTTAATTTGCCACACATCACAAGAAATCTGTGACGATAATCCCAACGCAATATTGTAATGCATTACTTTTAAAAGTAACTCTCCACAACACTGGTACAACACTGGTGGCAGCACAAAATATTGTGCCTAAAACAGAACCAAAACACGTCTTGTTATGAGTCAGTTTACCCCGTTCTTCTTGTTCAGATGTTGATCTGATATCTTGTTTCTCCTTCAGGAATTTAAAATGCCACACGACATTGTTGTTACAGCAGACGGGAGCGTCTTTGTTGGAGACGCAGCATCAGATTCTGTAATGAAGTTCGTTCAGTCTGCAAGTAAGTTATGTTAGTATAAATATACCAATATAACATTTCAAATAAAAATATGAGAAATGTGTTGCAGTGCAATCATAATCAGTCTTAATTTGCCACACATCACAAGAAATCTGTGACGATAATCCCAACAATACCAGTGCTCTGACCACACTGCCACCAACGGCTACCAAGAATATTGCATCCCTAGTTGCTCTTGTAGTTCCTGCTTGTGGCAAAGCAACATCGATGTTTATTTCACCTTTTTGCCACACATCACAAGAAATCCATAAAATATTCAGAACATTTAATTTTACACAATGTTAGTGATTACAGTAGTTACATTATAGGAAATAACTGACGAACCAGAGAAAGTTGACCAAAAAAATCCAACTTTCAAGTCTTAATGGAAAACATGAAATATTGAGTTCATTATAAATAACACTTTACATTTTATGCTGTGCTCCTGTTCTTATTCCACCAAACTTCACATTGAAAACATTAAACAGTTATTGCAAGCCTGCAGTTTTATCCTATGATTTTGTCTGTTCTAACAACAAAAATGGAAGCTAAAGATTTTTTCTTCTCATTTCAGAGGCAGAACATCGCTCGGTTAAAAAAGGAGGAATCGAGGTCCAAGAAATTGAAGGTAAATTGTTTGGATCGTCTTCATTTTTCATGACACAGCAAGCTTCATTGGGCCAGTCACAAGTGGACAGTGGTGCGTGTCCCAATATTTTTTTTTGTACTTTTTAATGCTGCCTTTTTTTAAGACTTATATACACAGTCTTAATTGTGATTTTTGGGAAATTCTGTAAATAAACAGAGTGAACCTTACAGTCTCTTGAAACGGATAGTTAATGCAGTGTATAATGTACTTTCCCTATCATGTATGGTTGAAGGATTTGTTTGACGTCAGAGGCTTTGTGATGCTTTCATTGCAACAATTGAAATAATTATCTTAGAATGTCCTTCTGTGATAGGCTTAATGGGTCAAACTCTCAAAAGCAGTCAGAGTCATATTTCGCCAATTTTCTTGACAGTTAAGCATTCCCACAAATCCGCAAGTAATATTTGTTTCTTATCTAATTCCCCCTTTCTTGTCTTTTAGAAACAGAAACGTTTGTGCAGGCCAATCTGAAGCCGTTACCCAAGTTTCCAGCGCAGAATCCAGTAGCCGGCGTGCAGAAGATGCAGGAGCCGTCACAGAAGCAGCATCAGCAGCCGCTGGCAGCTCCTGAGGAGAAGGAGACGAGCAAGACTGCAGCCAATCAGAGCGCTCGGGGCGCGTCGACCGCCATCATCACCACTCTACTGCTCGTCCCATTGGTGCTCGTCATCGCCATCGGTGCCTTTATCCGCTGGAAGAGGGGCCGGATGTACAGTGGTAATTGTGGAATATGCTTTTTCCCCCATCATAGTCTTCATGTGTTGTTGTATGTGGGATTGTTTTTGATCGATTTCTACTTTTAAGATGATTGTCAGGTGAAGTTGGAGCCTTCAGGATCAGCAGGAGGAATCCTGGGTAAAATCAGAGGTAATTCCAGTAATATTTTCTATAGAGACCTAATGGTCAACTTGCCTCTTAAAGAAATAGCTCACCCAAAAATGAAAATTGTAATTTACCCTCAAGTTATTTCAAACCCATAAGCCTTTTGGGTAACACTTTAGTATAGGGACCGATTCTCACTATTAACTAGTTGCTTATTAGCATTCCTATTATTAACATATTGGTTGTTTATTAGTACTTATTCTGCATGAGCATATTCTACATCTCTAATCCTACCCAGTACCTGAATTTAACAACTACTTTAGATAAAAGTTGTAGTTAATGGTTTGTTAATGGCAAGAATTGGACCTTAAAATAAATTGTGACTGATTTCTGTTCCGCCATTGAAAGTCCATCATTGAGTTTAAAAGCTCATAAAGAGATCGTAAAAGTACTTCTTCATATGAATCGAGTCATATAATCAAAGTCTTCAGAAGAAACACAAACACTTTATATGATGACCAGATATAATTTAGGCTTTTATTCACATACAAACACTGATTCAGAAAGCACATCAGATACGGCGAAGGAAAGCTCAAACATGCTCGACACGTGAGAACAAATGCAGTTTGTTTTTATGACTTCAGTAGTTTATGGAGTTTTTATTCCACAATCAGTGTTGGGAAGGTTACTTTGGAAATGTAATAGATTACAGATTACAAGTTATCCTGTTTAAAATGTAATAAGTAGTGTAACTATTTTAATTGCTTTTTTAAAATAATGTAACTGGTTACATTTGATTACTTTTCTAAATTTCTAGCGAATGTTTTCAACTGTTAACCAGTTAATCACCTCTCAGACAGGTTGTAGCCTAAAGCTTTCAGTGTTAATGTGGATTGATGTAATTGGTAGGCGTGCTGCGCTAGAAATTCAAACGAGAACCAATCAAAAGCATCAGAATAGCATCGCTTTACTAAACAGCCTTTAATTGGCAGACGGCATCGTGCACATCAAAAACAGGCAAAGCAACAAATTAATTTTATTCAACATATCCTAGCTTTTTACAGAAAATATTCAGATGTAACCCCTTTTGTAATCATTAACATTTTCATAAGTAACTATAATTTAAATACACATTTTGTTCTCAGTAACTGTAATGGATTAGTTACATTTATTTTGTTATTAAATTACGTTACACCATTGCATGTAACTAGTTACTCCCCAACACTGTGTCCACTATATATTCTGCATAAGCGCAGAAACAATATATAGTGTACACAGTGTTGGGGAGTAACTAGTTCCATGCAATGGTGTAACGTAATTATAAACTCCATGATTTTCAAAGTCATCGGATCGCTGTTTCTTTCAAACTACACGACTATTTTGGGTATCATGCTGTGGTTTGCACGTTACTCAACGGACCGGCGACTTCCTTATTCCGAGGTCACCGCAGCCACCGGATCCAGTCTGTATCCAGATCAGATGATGAAGATGATGTCAGCGGAGACCAGGACAACTAGATGAGCCCCAGAGACAGATCCCCAGTGAAGACCTTGTCTCAGACGGCCACCGGGACAAGACCACAGGAACCAGATGAGTCCTCTGCACAATCTGACTTCTGTATTGTTAAAAGCGCTATATAAATAAAGGTGACTTGACTGGGGCGGTGACTAATTTTTACGCTATATTTCACTAGGATGAAACCCTCTGTGTGCAAAGTGATACAGGGAATGATGTAAGATCACCAAACTGGAAGTTGGCACTTCTTAGATCGCATCTTTGATCACGTGATGCAAATGTCACTCGTGTGAATGAGTGCAAAATTGCCTCTGATTTCAGACTCTTGTCGGCTATCTCCAGGAAACTGTCTGCAAGTGATAATCATGTAGTGTATACCCAGCATTAGATGCTGCAGGCGCTTCGAGTAAGACTCTCTCTTTCTCACACACAGGCAAAGCTGCAGGAAGCTTGAACCTGGGGAATTTCTTTGCCTCCCACAAAGGCTACACCCGACACGGCTTCGACAGGCTCAGCACCGAGGGAAGCGACCTGGAGAAAGACGACGAGGACGGCACCGACTCCGAGAACGAGGAGTACTCTGCGCCGCCGGCCCCGATGTCCTCGTCCTAAAGAGCCAACGCTTTCTGCTAGCGCTGTCGGGATCTACTTTAATCGCCTCTGTATTTGTTTGTATCAGCTGCTGAAACATTTTATCTCGTGTGAAAATGTTGAAACCTACGACTGCCACTTTAATTGAAGCTTTTAAGGGACCACGTGGAGATTCAGAGCACTGGTCATTTTGAGGATAAAGACAGTTGATTATTATTTTTAACAGGAGCATTAAAGTAGATTATTTATTTAGTTTTAATGATGAACAGCTAGTCAATCTCTTCCAATAATTTATCAGTCTGATAGCAGTGCAATTAATATATAATTGATCCAGGCATTTTGTGTCATAACATTTCTGTATGTTTGTGCCTTTATGTATTTCGCCTTCTGCAGCACCTATATATTACTACAGATGTGCCACATATTTAAGAGCTGCTACTGTCACCTGTGATTAGAGTTGTTTTTTGCAGCTGATTTGAAAAAAAAAGAAAAGATGATTACAAATTTAAGGCTGTATTTACTACATTTTCAAAGCTAATGTGAGATGTGTCTGATATTTGTTGTGATACTGAGGTTTTATTGCAAGAAAACTATTTTCAGTAACAATGTTATTTGTGTAATAAAGTGTCTGCAAAGCATCAGCTCTTTCTACCGGCTGTATGAAGTATCTTCATGCATATTGAGAGAAAGTTCACACTACACTACACTGCTTATCAGGGGAAAACTTTATTGTGGTTTAGGGGAAGAGGGTGGAAAATGTGTCATGTAAATACAGTACACGGGCCTATATTTTGTTTAATTGAAGGCAGTGTCATATTAGTGCACTGTGAATTCAGATTCAGACTTTTTTAGCCTGTAGGTTACGAATCGTGAAGATGTATGAAATTAGTAGAATTAAAGGGGTCATATGTGATTTCAGTTGTTCCTTTCTCTTTGGAGTGTTACAAGCTCTTGGTGCATAAAGAAGATCTGTAAAGTTGCAAAGACTAAAGTCTCAAATCCAAAGAGATATTCTTTATAAAAGTTAAGAGTTAACCACGCCTACCTAAAACGGCTCGTTCTAACACGCCCCCACATGTCTACCTCACTATGTGGGAAGATTTGCATAATGCACCCAACTGTTCACGCAAAGAAAGAAGGCGTAACGTTTGTTCTCGCTGTAGTGTTGCCGCCACCATGTTGTGAAGACGCTGTGTGTTTCGTTGTGAAAGCGAAACTACTTTGTTTGGTCTTCCAAAAGAGGAC